AACCCACAACCTTTGAATCACTTCTCATTTGCTTGTCTAGAAGTCCAATACGCTATCCATTGCGCCACAGAGCCACATTTTGGTCTTCTGGATTAGCTTCAAATCTACTTGGATTTGCGGGAAACATTACGACTAGGCGATGTTAGCACTAAACAGTCATGCTCATGAATGTTTCCTTAGTGATGTGGTTCTGTGGCGCAATGGACAGCGCATTGAACTTCTAGTTATCAATAAGTAATTCAAAGGTTGTGGGTTCGAGTCTCATCAGAGTCATGTTTTATAGAGGAAATGCAGTACGAACAAACAGCAGAGATGAACCTATAAAATAGAATTCCAGCATGAAGGGCGTTAACAAACAGAAATAAGCAAACGTCTTCACTAAAAGGTCATGCTCATGAAAATATTTCAAAATATGCGACACAGTGGCACAAAGGACAGCACATTGGACCTTTAGTTGACAAGTAATTCAAAGGTTGTGGGCTCGTGTCACATCAGAGTTGAGCTTTTTGAGAGGAAATGCAGATTATGTAGCTGTAAAAACACAAAGCAGAGACAACCAGTTTTTGCTCCAGCGCAACATGAGCCGCTGCCCACCTAAATGCAAATCAACACACCTACTGACAGGTTAATAAAAGCATCACATGGCTGAATGTAGATACAGACTGCAGTGTTTGAACAGAATAAAGAGTTCAAACACAGACAGGTCACACTCATTGCCTCTTCGGCTTTAGTTCAATTTGAACCAAAAATAGACTATTAATAAAACAAAAACATGTAGCGTTGTCCAAACTATTAAAGCAAGAAGGGTTTCCTTGAACCTGCAGTTTAAAGGACTCAGACCTTTTGAATCACCTCTCTTGTGTTGGACTAGGAGTCCAGTGCGCTGGCCTGAGGTTCACCACATGTTCACATGTTGTACATGTTCAAATAGACAGTTCAGTACCAGGAAAGATAGTAGTACAGAGAGAAGAGAAAGAAGACAGAGGGGGAGTAAAGGACAAAGAGGAGAGAAAGTAGGCACAACAATGCAACAATAGAAGTCTGTCTTGAAGACCTCAAAGGGGAGCTTGTTTGGAAGGATGGAGAAGAGAAAGAGTTGGAGGCTTCCGTGTCTCCAAACAAACTGACGCCATGTTGAAAATCCTGCTTCATGTTTATTATTCTGACAAACTTTCTCTGAGTCCTTCATCCCTCCTTCCTCTCCTTTCAGTCCAGCCTTGACCCCTCTGCAGTCTGAGCTGCTTTCACAAAAAACAGACCACGAATGTTCAAGATGTCGCATTTTAGTTCTTGTTTTCTGGCTGTAAACAGCAGTTTGTCCTCTCTGATCTGTTTTTCCATTAAATCTGCTCAGTGTAAAGCATCTGCAAAGAGGAGACATTCCTGGATCATACTTTGGTTCCATTACATTCTTGGGTCCCGCAAACAAATAAACGTGCCACAAATTAAACATATTTACTGTATTTTATGCCACGAAAAATGTTTATTGGCAAAGAAAGCAAAGAAGCTGATTTTGGTATGAAAGGATTGATAAGAAGTTCTGTGTATTTTCCATGGCACTGGAGCAGAGGGGAGGAAACAAAACATCTCCTCTAGATAGGTTTATTTCCCATATTTGGTAGGAACATGTGAACATGTCTGCAAATCCATGCAGAGGGAGGGTATTATAGATAACTGTAAGTCCAGTCCGTTCTCATTCTCAGGTCATCAAATACCTACGCTTTGTCACCTTCTTCAGCGTCTGGTACTGACGCACATGGCACCCTCTCGCTTCATAGTTAAACTCACCAGGGGAAGCCCTTTAACAGAAAACTCAAAAACCGGACTTTCACCCAGGAGACCGTTGTTTGTTTCCAGTGTGAAACCATTGTCTTTTTCTAAACTTGAACAACTAGTTTTGTTGCCTAAAGTTAGTCTTATTTTGAAAAGCCTAACCGAACATTGCATGTTTATTCATGCTAACTTGACCACGGAGTCCTACACGTGCAAAAACAACACTAAAGGGGTAGCCAGGGCGTTAAGAAGCGACGCCAAGGGGTCTTTCCCAAGGCCCCATCTACACTACTACGTTTTAGTTTAAACACAAAGTTTTAAAACGAGTACGATCTCCGTCCTCAGCAGCGTTTTAGCTGCATATCAGAGTTGATCTCCGACTGAAAACGCACATCTAGTGGGCGTTCAGGTACACTGGGTGTGCGCGTGCCAGTGTTAACAGGAAGCAGATGGTCTGTTCCGTAGTTAGAGAAGATTTGGCAAGGAAGAACCGCACCAGATTTTATTTTGCATGGACCGATAACGAGCTGGGACTGTTACTGAATGTAACACGGGGGTTACAAGCGGCTGTGGCGGCGGGAAACAGACTGGGAGTCGCTGCAAAGTAAACGGCGACATGCACAGTACAAGTGTAGGCTGTAAGTGTTATTTACACGGTACAGAATAGTTTAATAATTTCCCGTATTTGTGATCATGATCACATTATACCCAGATACAAAGAAGCAGCTTCCAGCCCTCAGATGTTGTGTAACTACATCTCCCAGAAATCACCTGTCAATCGTGCAGAACTCGACTTCCCTGCAGGAAGATGAAGAAAATGAGGAGGAAGAAAAGCAGCTGGAAAAGAAAAGAGGGAGGAAACACAGCGAGCACCAACTGAACGCAGAGCATAACCAAACAAGTGCAAAGGATTATGGGATACTGAGGACACACTAGCTGTGAAAGCTGGAACGACACACACACACACATAATGCATCAATAAGGTCAGTTTGACCCAGTTTAGACAGTGACGTATGTTTGTTCTTGACTAAGTGTGTTATTAGTAAGATCGATGCCCAGAAGGACTTAGCTGTCATCTGCCTGCCAACACACACACTCACAAGCACAATTATAATTCCATTAGTGTTTTCCTCAGGCAGTAACCGAAGGGTATTATTGGCTGACACGCAGAGATGCACTCCCCAATGATTCAGCCTTCACACACAAACGCAGTGTAAAGCCCAGACACACACACACATGCCTCAGTGAAGTGGCGTGTGATTAGTCACTGTTTGGATGTCAGCCAGCGAGAGTAGAGTTTCACTCAGGATCCACTCTGACAGCTCTGAACCTTCAGTGGACATTTTAAAACACAACTGTCCCACTCTTTACGTGAGAACCTGAACACACCGCTTTCAAAAGTTTTAATAATCTGTCGTGTGCAGTCTGGTGCAGTCTTTTCTCAGCATCTTAAATAAAACACAGATGTGTTCAAGTGACTGTGTCTGTGCAGATGGTGCCTTCACTGTCACCTCGCTCACTGTGTAAATGGGAACGGTGTTACTTTACATGAAGCCAAAAACACACCTTTTTCTCCCATCTGTCAGGAAAAGAACACGACTTCTGATTTCTGTCATGATCTCTTAGAGTAAAAGGTTTCAGTAAAAATGTAAGTCTGGTGTCATATTGTTTGGACCCAATCCAACAACCTGTCAGTCCATCTCTCAGTACGTCCTGACTTCATGTGTGTGGCTCTCAGCTCCGAGCTCTTTTGGGCTCTGCTGAAGACATAAATCTTTAAAAATATGAAGTGTCGTGTTTAAAGGGCTCAGTCATTTCCTAAACAGCTGCTCGCTGCAGCTTTAATCAAACAAACAGCAGGAAATGGTGCATTTGTTGGGGACTACTTTCAGCAGCGGATGAATCCACATGTGGTTTGTAGGACTGAGTCAGGATGAACTACAGAGTGTGTGTTCAGTGACATGTCATCGGTTTGGCTCTGCACGTGAGATTTGATGACAAAAAGAAAGCTAGAATATCAGCAGGACGATGCTTCTGGGCGTGTTTCTGTTTATTAAATACAATACTAATAAAGATTTATTACAGATCCATGACTGTGTAATAGTCAGTTATTTACTTCTGCTCTCTCTCTCTCTCTCTCTCTCTCCCCCCTCCGTCTCCATCTAGCTGACATTCCACATTTTCTTTGTGGGGAAGTTTGTTTTTAAAAGCAGCCGTTTGAAAGATGAGACAATGAGAGAAAGTGACACAGACACAAACAGGATGAGGGGGATCAGATTCATGTTATCTCCCTCGCTCTCCCTTTGGAGCTGAACCCATCTGAGTCAACTCTGTCTTTAACCTCAGTAACTAAAGTATTTCTGAGTAGTCCAACGTACACTGAACACAACAATATACAACATTTATACAACAATTAAAAGGCTGTAAATAAAGGAAGCGAAAACCATCCAAAAGGCACCGAATAAAAGGAAATCACGAAACTGGAAACTGCTGCCGTGCAGATGAATACAGATGAATCCTTCAATCCAGATCACATCAGTTTAGTTGCTATTTGGCTTGAGAGTGAAAAGTCCTCCATGGACCCCCTGCAGGCTGCAATGCCCATTACAGCCTCCACAAGTGAGGGACGGAACACAGTGATGATAATGTTTGTTTGGGGAGTCGCGGGGTCATTAAAACCAAACAGGGTCCATCCTCTGAGGAGCAGCACTGGGATCAGTGAATATAATGCGCGCTAAAATTCAGACACTTTCTAAGATGAGGTCAGGCAGACTTTCTATTCAGACCATTATGGTTATTTAACCAATCAGAAGAATCAGTCAGTCACACAAACGTGGTAACGCAGTACCTGTGTATGTGGGGATACATCGCTATTGTGCAAAAATGTGAAACACACACACACACACACACACACTCATTTACACGTTACAACAGTGCTGTGGCGCAAAAAGCACGTAGACGCGCAGGAAAAATTTCCATGAGAGAAAATCTTGATCATACAAGAAGCTTTCAAATCATCAATACTGTGATCGACCCCCCCCCCCTTCTTCTTCTTTTGTTTCTTTTTCATTTTAAGATAACTGTCAGCTGTGGTTTTTATATGTTTCAATAAGGCTTTTGTCTTCACTTGGAGGGTCCGCTACGAGCCCCGGACCAGATCTGCTCCTGTGCAAAATAAAAAAGGAAACACCAAACTGGAGGTCAAAGTGAGTGAAGTGTGAGCGTACCTCTGTGCCGGTGTGGAGCGGAGACATGTACGTCCAGCTGCCGGTGAGTCCCTGCAGACCCCGCTGATCTCAACTCTTCCCTCCCTCCCTCCCTCTCTCTCTCTCTCTCTCTCTCTCTGGTGTTCCTGCTGTTTCACCGGCCGCTCCGGACGCATTGGATCAAACACTCTCCGTGCTTTCAACAACTCACCCCCCTCTCTTTCTCTCACCCTCTCTCCCTCTCTCTCTCACACACACAAAACGGTCAAACACGCACAGAAAGCTCTTTCAGTCCTCCGGTTCGTCCGCTAACCTACTTGGCCACGTTTTACGCACCAAAAGCACAAAAAAGAGAAGTGAATCCATCCAACATCTGTCCGGTAAGATCTTCCTGAAGCCTCCACATCCGCTTTGAGGTTTAGAAAAAGTTCAGAAAAGAAGAATAAAAGTTTTAGAGCGAGTGTTAAGAAAGTGGAAGATGTGGAGATGAGCTCCGGGCGGCGGAGAGTCGGCTCCGTCTGCTGCTGCTGCTGCAGGGGACGGAGGGAGGGGGAGGTCCAAAAACCATCAGAGAGAGAGGGAGAGGGAGAAAAAGAGAGAGAGAGACTTCTGACAACCGGCCAGCTGTTTACAAGCGAACAAAACACTTTCTAAGAAACAGTTTCACTCTGCAGAGTCTGCTCTAATCCTGCAGATAAAGTTACAGCGGCTCTTTAAAGAAGCAGCAGTCAGTGTGTAGCTGCTGAAACTAAAGTTTACAGGAGAAGCGCAGGTGTGACTGATAACTTTAATTGAGGCGCTGATCATTAGTCTAATTAGTGTCCTTATAAACCAGGTGAGCCAACACTGCCCGATGGAAGGAGGCCTTCAGTTCTGTTGTTGGTTACATGATATGAAGTGTAAAACATCAGCCAACAGATAGTGTGACACTGAAGTTTGGATGGAAAACAGTAACACAGACAACAAATAAAAAAGAGGTTATGAATATATTTAAAGGGATACATGAGGGTTAATGATACCCAGATGCATGCATTTACAGTACACACAGACCACAGCTGGAATTTTACTTCACTTGAGCATTTTCTGCTCCTTTATACTGCAAATGTTGTCCTTTTTACTCCACTACATTTATCTTTAGATACTTTGTAGATTTAGAATATTACTACGAAATATAATCAAGCATTATGTATTATTATAGAATAAACAGTAAAGTAAAGTAAAGAGGTGGTTTTGTGCTTTTTGCCTTTTTCCTTCTCCTTTGATTTATAAACCTTTTCTGTGCTTAAACAGGTTTGCAAAGTGAAAAAGCCCAAAGAGAGTTCCCATCTCCCAAACACTAGCTACCCTCCAGGCAGTCAGTGGACATAAAGTTGTTCCTGTGATGTAGAGACAGAGCTCAGTTAAAACTTTATGGATACAGATTAATAACTCACCGCTCTGAAACTCTCGCTCCAGTCCGGCTGAACCCGAGCCGTTTACCGGCTTCTCGCCGACCCGCCCTTCTCTGCTTCTGATTGGCTAGTAGTCCTTAACTAGGAACTGAGCATGTGCAACTCCCAACAAAGATCATTTAGAGACAAGATGTATCACTCCACAGCTAAAACGAAGCCTTCAACACAGGCTGAAAAGAGGAGCTGCAGCAATGTGCAGTAGGACACAAATATAACCATGGAAACCTGCTCTGGTACAAACTCTGAATAAGATGAGGAACCTGGAAATGAGCAGAATATAACCTCTTTAAATAATTAAGAAACACAGAAGCAGTTTCTTCCCACAAGCCATCACTCTGATGAACAGCTGATTTCTGAATCACAGTGTCAGGAACTATTCCTGTGCAATAACCCAGTAACTCTGTCTCTAATCAGCACCTGTTTACTGGTTTCCACTTATTATCTATTTATTCACCATTCTCTATTTCAGTGCTGTTCATACTATGTCATATTGTATATACACCTCCCTCAGGTCATAAGGTCATAGGTCTTATTTATTTTTTCCAGCATCCTTTGCACTGTGCTCCATCACACTGTGTACATGTATGTGTACCTGTATATCATATCCACCTTCAACATGTACATAATGAGAATAATAGTTTACTCTTGCATCCTTTGCACTCTGATCACTGCACTATTTCTCAATATGTCTATATTGTTTTGTTCATAGTGTGTATATTAGTGTTGTCTACACTGTAGTTTGTGTCTGATTTTATTTATTATTATTTTATTATTGTGTTATTGTATCTTTGTACAAGTAAACACATCGTGAGCAATTTACAATCCTGAGTCAAATTCCTCGTATGTGAACACATACCTGGCAATAAAGCTGATTCTGATTCTGATTCTGATTAAAATGAGCTCCACTTTTACCAGCTGCAACATTAAAGTGATGAAGAAATTAAATCAGAATCAGAAATACTTTATTGATCTCAGAGGGGAAATTCTTGTCTCACAGTTGCGCGCATTGCACATCAAGGCATAAAGGACTAGAAATAATAATAGAAGTTAGAAGGTATATAAAGAAATGTATAAATATAAAAAGTATAAATATAAAATATAAAGAAAACATATAAAGGAGTATGGATATGTACAATATTTACATTATCAATAGAATTGTTAGTAGAGAATAAATAGAAGCAGAATTGCAGTGGAGAATATTGCACTTTAAATATTAAAACGGGTATTACACAGAATGTGAAGTATTTCACTACAAGGTCCAGTTTAATAACCAACTAAGGGTTTATTATAATTATAATCCAATAACATAAAATGGGCCGTTCTGCATGATGTGTACTTTTACTTTAGGCATTTACAGTGAATGCAGGACTTTTACTTGACAGAGAGTATTTGTACACTGTGGTAATACGAGGATCAAGGAGGATATAGTTATTGTCATCACTCAGCTATCAAACAAGCGACATGTAAACAGGCAAACAAATAAACATGACAAAAGAAAATACACACCACAGTTAAAATAAAATAACCATCTATAAAAATTATCAGTGGTATTATTACTTTTACTTAAGTAACACATCTGAGTACTTCTTCCACCACTGACAGTATTTCTTATATTTGTTTATTACATCGTTTTAAAATGATCTTTAGAATTTCTGTTTTCTTTTATTTATATTTATTTTATATAGTTCATTAATCACTATAAAAAATAAAAATATAAAAATATATATATTAATTATCTCTCTCTCTTTGCAAACATGTTTTAAGATTTGATGGTAAAGATTCAGCTGAGGACGTTTAACAGCATCAGGCCCGTCTTCTAAATGGATAGTGAGAGAGCCATAACTGCATTTCACTGGTCACTGGAACATAAAAACTGAGGACTTTGCCCCAAAATAAGGTTTAAAAAGTGTTTTTCCCCAGAGACTTTCCAACAGTGTTGGGGAGTAACAAGTTACCTGTAATTTAGTTATGCAATTTAATTAGAAAATAAATCCAACTGTAATCTGTTACTGGGAAATAATTACAGTTAGTCATGAAAATGTTCACGATTACTCCGGGGTTACATCTGAATACGTCCTGTAAAACGCTCGTCTATATGTTGAATAATATTCATTTTGTTGCTTTGCATGTTTTTCATTTGCACAGAGTTCCTGTGGCCGTTTCCAGCCACAGCTGTTAAGTGTGATGCTGTTCTGATGCTTCTGATTGGTTCTCCTAAATCCAGACATTTCCACTGCAAATTAGAGCAGAAAATGTCTCCAGACTGCAGGAAATTAAGTGCTTAATGCTCCCGACCAATTTTCAACAGAAAGTAAAACCTAATTCTAACCTGAACACTGAAACCAAGTCTTGATCAAACAGCACTTTCTACCTGTGTGGACAAAAACTGATCGGTGAGTGTGCATTAAGGTTAAAGGGTTAAAATCCTGAAAATAATTAAATATTTGGTATTTTTAAGCAGGGAAGACGTTTTTTAAGAGATTAATGAAAAAAAAAAGCAGAAAAAATATTGATGTATGATGATTTTATAGCAATTTTTTGTGCATGTACAGTTTTAGCCACAAAGGTGTCCAGAGGGTGCAAAAATTGAAATCTGACGCCACATAAAAATACTAATGCAAACAAATCAATTTTGTTGGAAATCTTTGACATATCCAAGAGTCTAATTACCACCAAAGCCTCACCTCCCTACTATTTATTTCAAGGAAAATAATTCACATTTAGTGTTTTTATATATATAATTAATAATTAAAATGACTAAACTGGTATTTAAAGGGTTAAAATCCTGAACATTATTAAATGTTTGGTAGTTTTGAGCAGAGGAAAAGTTGACTGAAAATGAAATAAATATAGATGTATGTTGATTTTATAGCAGTTTATTTGTGCGTGTACAGTTTTAGCCACGAAGATGTTCAGAGGGTGTAAAAATTTGAGGAGGGCATTAAGGTTAAAGTGCAAAAGCATGAAACACACACATTTACACAAAGAGCTACGTGGAAAAGGGAGACATTCTTGACCACATCTGTTCCTTCTAAACAACCAGTTTACCAGTCTGGACCAGTCAGCGCTTTATACTGGACACACACACACACTCACTGGTGGAATGCATCCACAAACAGAAGCAGATGTAAGCAAGTGTGAACACTTAAAATAAGGACACACACACAGACACAGACGGTAAACAGAGCTGGTGAGCTGGCACCGGTCCTGACACTGTTATTCCAAACTCAGACATTCCTCAGCTCACTTTCCTATTGACAAAAACCCTGCGTGTGTGTGTGTGTGCGTGTGTGTGTGTGCGTGTGTGTGTGTGTGTGTGTGTGTGCGCGCTTCCTTTATGTGACAATACACACAGTCCCCGTAACGTAAATCATTATATTATAGGGTGAAAGTTTGGTTTTACAGCTTGGGGTAAGTCTCCAGGAAATGAATGGAAGTCTATGGAACGTCCTCTGAAGTGATGGAAACGCCGCAGCGTAAAACACTTCCTGTCACCAGGATGAACTAACTGTTGCATCATATGAGCAGCTAAAGTATTCTGAAACTTTTTATTGGTTGTGTTCAGGTGCTCACAGCTCTTGGTTGATCATGGTCTTGGTCTAAAACAGAAGAAGTCTGCAGCTACTTGATTAATATGGATATGGAAAGATGATAAACTCTCCTTCAATGAACATATTACTGCTTTAGTCAAGAAACTTAAAGTCAAGCTTGGCTTTTGTTTCAGAAACAAATCTTGTTTTACTTTTAGTGCTAAGAAGAAACTTGTGGAAGCTACTTTTCTGTCTGTAATTGATTATGGAGATATATTTTACATGCATGCTGCATCTTCCACCTTGCGTCATGTTGATTCAGTTTAACATGCATCACTACGATTCATAACAAATACAAAGTCCCTCACACATCACTGCCTTCTTTATGATGTAGCTGGTTGGACAGCACTTAAAACAGCTCTGGTATATCTTTATTTATAAAGCTATACTTGGCAAACTTCCACTGCACCTCTGTAACCTCCTCTCTGTCTGCTCTGGTATCAGCAACGCTCCTCAAAGCTGCTTTTTAACGAGCAACGAGTTGCAACCGAATTGGGAAGAACTGCTTTCTCT